TTATGATGCAGTTGAATTACAATGTAATTGGATTATGATGTATTTGTAATTGAATTGAATAGCGATCTGAATTTCTAGTTACAATGTAACTGAATTACAATGTAGTTAGATTAATTGGATTACGATGTAATTGAATTACATCGTAATTGGATTGTGATATAATTGAATGACGATCTGGATTACGAGTTACAATGTAACTGAATTACAATGTAATTGGATTGTGTTGTAATTGAATCACAATGTAATTTATCTGAACGACGATCTAAATTAAAAGTTACAATGTAACCGCAATTCCTCGATTTCAATCCGACGGCAATTCCGGCGAGCTCCGCGGTGCCGTAAACTTTCACGCGAGATGACAGAGGAAACGCGATCGTACAGAGAGTATCGGTTTCGCGGGAAACAAAAAAAAACCGGCAAAGTGGCAATTGGCTCTGTTTCCGTGATGCTCTCTGTCCGCCGCCGGTCCGGTCGGCGGGGCCGAGACGGACGGGCCCCGTTCGCCGGTAGGGCCCGAGTTTACGGGATCCGACGAAGATCTGCAGGGAAGAGCGGAAAAGGGAGGCAGGGTCGCGAAGCGCTTCTGTCGCCCGGAGTCGAAGTCGAAGACGGAATCAGGATCGTATGACGCGCGTGTGCCCCAGATATCCTAATATGTCCACTGGCTGTTACGTGTCGCGCGTAAAACCCCGGCCCGGCCCGTCCCGGCCCGACCAAGTTTCTACTTCCATTCAATCAGCCGTAATTGCGCCGCGCTGCCTTTTGTCGAGGTTCCGACATTCGTCAAACGCTTGACCTCCTTCCCCGACACTTCACGGTACACTTTAGGGCACTTGCGCCACCGCGAGACTCCCATCGCGTGACTTCGACGGATTTCTCTTCGTATGCAAATACGTGGATTCGGCGGAACCACGGCTCCCACGAAACCGATCCCTTCTTCCCCCCTTCCTCTTCTTTCACCGGCAGACGACTTTTATTAAGCCGTCGCGCCGTCGGTGCCGCGATCCGTCGTCGAAACATCTTTTGCAACTTTCATATACAGGGTGTCCCAAAAATGTCTCGCAATCCGAAAGCGGCGGGTTCCTCGGGTCATTCGAAGCAACTTCTTCCTTTATAAAAATTGTCTCCGAGCCACCGTTAACGAGTTATCAACGAAAAACAGTGACCAATGAGAGGCGAGTTCGGCTGGCGCAAGGCGGCCGAGCCAATGAGCTGAACGTGGGCTTCGCGCGCTCATTGGCTCGGCCGCCAAGCGCTAGGCGAGCTCGCCTCTCATTGGTCAGTGTTTTTCGTTGATAATTCGTAAACGAAGCCACGGGTTGCATTTTCGTTAAGGAAAAAGTTGCTTCAAACGATCCCAGAAACTTCTCGTTTCCGGTTTGCGAGACATTTTTGGGACACCCTGTATAGTATAATATTTTCAGTATTTTTAAGTCGTATATCCTATATTTATATATTTCAATGCTTATTCCATTTTATTCCTTTTAACCCTTTGCACTCGTAGCTATTTTAATTGTAAATCTAAAATAATTTTTCTGGGTTATAACATTTTCATGTTACACGACAGGGTGCATTTTCTGCAGATGAAATTGTGTATTGTTACATCGCACGACAGTTAGACTTTTAATAATTTTTTCAATCTAAACTTTGTTGATGTAAGAATCATCTTTGAACGTGATATAACAAATTTTAATGGTGTCTCAGAGTCACCGCCCGAGTGCAAACGGAAAGTCCTATAAATTGAATATGAAGAGCGTCACCCATAATTTGGGTGACGGGCACCCACGGAAGCATATACCCCCCCGTCACCCAGATCTGGAAGTCGCGGACGTCTGATTTGAACGAGGGCGAGATAATTCGATTTAAGCTTTTAGGTATACGGCTGAATTCTGCGCGAGACTATTTCTCTGGACGGCAGAGTTTGATACTGTAGTGGTGGGTTCCTCGAGTCATTCGAAGCAACTTCTTCCTTTATAAAAATTTTCTCCGAGCCACCGTTAACGAGTTATCAACGAAAAACAGTGACCAATGAGAGGCGAGCTCGGCTGGCGCGAGGCGACCGAGCCAACGAGCGGAACCGGGCTTCGCGCGCTGGTTGGCTGGGCCGCCTCGCGTCAGCCGTACTCGATTCTTATTGGTCACTGTTTTTCGTTAATAACTCGTTAACGGTGCCTCGGAGAACATTTTTGTAAAGGAAGAAGTTGCTTCGAATGATCCGAGGAACCCGCCATTTCCGGATTGCGAGACATTTTTGGGACACCTTGTATATTTGCATAGATTCTTTTTTTCTAACCCCTCGAGAGGTTTAACCGTTTGCAATCGCGCGCGGCGCGACACCGAGGCGTCGCGAAAACAAAATTGTTGGATCGCATTACAAAATCATTTTCACGTTATCGATCACGTTTGTTTATATTCGAGAGACTGCCGCGGCAAGTCGTACAAGATGAAATATTGCGGCTTCGAGCGCGAAGGGTTGAAATCCACGATATTAGTTCGCTCGGACAGTTTTCCGATAAGATAACGTTCCGAAGACCGGCTAATGAAAATTCAACTCGTTTTTTCCGATGAATTATTACACGGTACACCGGGGACAACGGGAAGGCTCGTAGGTTTACGCTAATTATGAATAATTATGATAATTATCGTAAGTAATGATTATAATTAATACAATAATTTAAAAAAATTATGATAATTATAATAAAGAATAGTTGTAATTAATACAATAATTTTAAAAAATTATGATAATTATAAGAAAGAATAATGATGATTAATATAATAATTTTTAATAAATATGATAATTATAATAAAAAGTGATTGTAATTAATACAATAATTTTAAAAAATTGTGATAATTATAAGAAGAAATAATGATGATTAATATAATAATTTTTAAAAAATTATGATAATTACAATAAAGAATAGTTATAATCGATATAATAATTTTAAATAATTATGATAATTACAACAAAGAATAGTTATAATCGATATAATAATTTAAAAAAGTTACGATAATTATAATAACGAATAACTATAATGGAGCGGAGCAAATTCTCGCCTCCATTCGCAACTATATTGCGTGTGTATTTTTAAAAATTCTTCAACCAGAGAACACGAAGTTTTCGCCGAGGTTGCACGGCGAAGGTGTACAATGCGAGCAGTAGAGCCAACCGTTGAATAGTTTTTCGTAGAAACGCGCCGCGATTATCGGTCCGAGAAATCTCGAGAAATCGCGTCAACTGAATTGTGTCTAAAAAACGAGTATCGGCGATTTACGCCTTTCCGTATTTTACGAGCTTCCCAACCCTCGAGTTCGAGCTTCCGTTACTTCATCCTCGACCTCGTAAACGAGAGACCGCGCGATCAACGGGGGTCGAGCGACGCCACTGTACGTTTCGACGGAAACATTCCCATCGAGATTTTACAATTCCGCGAAAAAGTCCGATCGACTGTAAATGCGCGCGACAGAGAGAAAAAGGCGCGCGATGGAGAAAAGAAAAGCCCGCGTAATTGTATTGCGATGTAACTGAATTGAATGAAGATCCGAATTTCGAGTTACAATGTAACTGAATTACGACGTAATTGGATTACCATGTAATTGAATTGTGATGTAATTGGATTGAGATGTAATTGAATTACAATGTAATTGGATTGTGATTTAATTGAATTACGATGTAACTGGATTATGATGTAATTTAATTACAATGTAACTGGATTACGATGTAATTGAATTGAATGACGATCTGAATTACGAGTTACGATGTAACTTAATTACAATGTAATTGAATTAGAATTTTACTGGATTATGATGTAATTGAATTACAATGTAATTGGATTATGATGAAATTGAATTGAACGACGTTCTGAATTTCGAGTTACAATGTAACTGAATCACAATGTAATTGAATTACAATGTAATTGGATTGTGATGTAATTGAACTGAATGAAGATCCAAATTTCGAGTTGCAATGTAATTAGATTATCATGTACTTGAATTACAATGTAACTGGATTGTGATGCAATTGGATTACAATGTAATTGGACTATGATGTAATTGAATGACGATCGGAATTACGAGTTACGATGTAACTTAATTACAATGTAATGGAATTACGATGTTACTGGATTATGATGTAATTGAATTACAATGTAATTGGATTGCGATGTAATTGAATTGAATGAAGATCCGAATTTCGAGTTACAATGTAACTGAATTTCAATGTAATTGGATTATCATGTAATTGAATTACAATGTAATTGGATTGCGATGTAATTGAATTGAATGAAGATCCGAATTTCGAGTTACAATGTAACTGAATTTCAATGTAATTGGATTATCATGTAATTGAATTACAATGTAATTGGATTGCGATGTAATTGAATTGAATGAAGATCCGAATTGTGAGTTACAATGTAACTAAATTACAATGTAATTGGATTATCATGCAATTGAATTACAATGTAATTTGATTGTGATGCAATTGGATTACAATGTAATTGGACTATGACGTAATTGAATGGCGATTTGAATTACGAGTTACACTGTAATTGAATTACAATGTAATTGGATTGTGATGTAACTGAATGACAATGTAATTGGATTGTAATGTAACTGAATTACAATGTCATTGGATTGTGATGTAACTGAATTACAATGTAATTGGATTGTAATGTAACTGAATTACAATGTAATTGGATTATGATGTAATTGAATTACAATTTAATTGGATTGTAATGTAACTGAATTACAATGTAATTGGATTGTGATGTAACTGAATTACAATCTAATTGGATTGTGATGTAACTGAATTACAATGTAATTGGATTCTGATGTAACTGAATTACAATGTAATTTAATTGAATAACGATCTAAAAAATTACGAGTTACAACGTAATCGAATAACAATCCAATGGAATTACAACGTAATCGATTCACAATGCGATCGAATTAAATCGAGAGGCGCGCGATAGAGAAAATTGACGCAGAATTGCGAGCTCTCTCACCTGGAAAGTTCTTTCGGATGATGAAGGCGGTGTCAGCGGCGAGTGATGATGCACTTGTCGCGCGACGACGGGCGTCACAGAAGGGCTCTTCGAGGTGGGCACCCTGGTCTCCTTCGCCTCCCTCTCGCACACAGTCCCGGGCGACCAAATCTTACTCTTGCCCTCTGCGCTCGAGACATCGCCGGGCTTCGTGCTCAGATTCAGCGGCGCTTCGTCTTCTGAAACGAGCAACCAAAACCGCAACCAATTAGCGATCGACGCGGCAATTTAAGTGGCGCGGCGATGTAAATTCAACGCGCGACGATTCAAATATGTAACACCGCGATCTGAATGACGCGAGAGTTTAAATATAACAGCGCGATTTAAATAACGCGAGAGAATTTAAATAACGCGAGAATTTCGGTGCATACAACTATTTTGAATAACGCAACGATATAAATAGAACCGCCGTTTTAAAAAACGCAATAATTTAAATAAAACCGCGAGGTGAAGAACGCGGGAGATTAAGAAACAGAAGAATTTATAAGTGAAACTGCGCAATTTGGGAAACGCGAGAAATCGAACGACGCGACGATTTAAGTAATTAAATAATTTATATAGCAAAACGATTTAAGTAACGGAATAATTTAAGTAACAAAATAATTTAAGTAACAAAACAATTTAACTGACAAAACAATTTAACTAACAAAACAATTTAAGTAACAAAATAATTTTAGTAACAAAACAATTGAAGTAGCAAAACGATTTAAGTAACGGAATAATTTAATTAACAGAATAGTTCGAGTAACAGTAATAATTTAAGTAACAAAACGATTTAAGTAAGAAAACAATTTAACTAAGAAAACAATGCAAGTAACGCAACCACAATTTAAATAACAAAACAATTCGATTTAAATAACGCAACGATTTAACATAACGCAACAATTTAAATAACGCGACAGTTTAAATAAAGCTACGATGTAAAACACGCGAGAGATTAAAAAACACAAGAATTTAAGTGAAACGAAAATTTAAGGAACGCGAGAAATCGAACGGCGCGACGATTTAAGTGATAAAATAGTTGAAGTAACAAAACGATTCGAGTAACGGAATAATTTCAGTAACCAAATAATTTCAGTAACAAAACAATGTAACTAACAAAATAATGTAAGTAACAAAATAATGTAAGTAACAAAACAATTTAAGTAACAGAATAATTTCAGTAACAAAATAATTTCAGTAACAAAACGATTTAAGTAACAAAATAATTTAAGCAACAAAACGATTTAAGTAACAAAATAATTTCAGTAAGAAAACAATTTAACTAACAAAACGATGTGCAAGTAGAGCAACAATTTAACTAACAAAACGATGTGCAAGTAGAGCAACAATTTAACTAACAAAACGATGTGCAAGTAGAGCAACAATTTAACTAACAAAACAATGCAAGTAACGCGACACACAATTTAAATAATAAAACAATTCGATTTAAATAACGCAACAATTTAAATAACGCGACAATTTAAATAGCACGCGAATTTAAGTAGCGTCAATTCGTTAACATGTTCTCGCGGGTCCCAAATCCGACCGATGGAGCACCGAGACATAAACGGAGCGATAAAATTTTTTAAATAAATAATTTTAAATAAATTTAACCTCGACATAACCCGAACGTCAAGAAGCGAAAAGAAATGTAGAAAAAACTACGACCTATTGTTCGAATTGTCCAAAAATCACCTCAAATGTGTTTAGAATGTTTCAACGCACACCGTACGACAGCAGTATAATGTAACGTGTTATACTAAATACAAATTAGTAAAAAGTATTGTGTAATATGTATACAGGGTGTCCCAAAAATGTCTCGCAATCCGAGAATGGAAGGTTCCTGAAGTAATTTCAAGTAAGTTTGTCCTCGGCGAAAATGCAATCCACGGCTTCGTTGACGAGTTATTAACGAAAAAGAGTGACCAATGAGAGGCGAGTTCGGCTGGCGCGAGGCGGCCGAGCCAATGAGCGGAACGTGGGCTTCGCGCGCTCATTGGCTCGGCCGCCAAGCGCTAGGCGAGCTCGCCTCTCATTGGTCAGTGTTTTTCGTTGATAATTCGTAAACGAAGCCACGGGTTGCATTTTCGCTAAGGAAAAAGTTGCTTCAAACGATCCCAGAAACTTCTCGTTTCCGGTTTGCGAGACATTTTTGGGACACCCTGTATAGTATAATATTTTCAGTATTTTTAAGTTGTTTTAATCCTTTTAACCCTTTGCACTCGAAGCTATTTTAATTGTAAAAAATCTGAAATAATTTTTCTGGCTTATAACATTTTCATGTTACACGACAGAGTGCATTTTCTGCAGATGAAATTGTGTATTGTTACATCGCACGACAGTTAGACTTTTAATAATTTTTTCAATCTAAACTTTGTTGATGTAAGAATCATCTTTGAACGTGATATAACAAATTTTAATGGTGTCTCAGAGTCACCGCCCGAGTGCAAAGGGTTAAAATCCAACTGAAAGTCCTATAAATTGAATATGAAGAGCGTCACCCATAATTTGGGTGACGGGCACCCACGGAAGCATATACCCCCCCGTCACCCAGATCTGGAAGTCGCGGACGTCTGATTTGAACGAGGGCGAGATAATTCGATTTAACCTTTTAGGTATACGGCTGAATTCTGCGCGAGACTATTTCTCTGGACGGCAGAGTTTGATACTGTAGTGGCGGGTTCCTCGAGTCATTCGAAGCAACTTCTTCCTTTACAAAAATTTTCTCCGAGGCCCCGTTAACGAGTTATCAACGAAAAACAGTGACCAATGAGAGGCGAGCTCGGCTGGCGCGAGGCGACCGAGCCAATGAGCGGAACTGGGCTTCGCGCGCTGGTTGGCTGGGCCGCCTCGCGTCAGCCGTACTGGATTCTTATTGGTCACTGTTTGTTCGTTAATAACTCGTTAACGGTGCCTCGGAGAACATTTTTGTAAAGGAAGAAGTTGCTTCAAATGATCCGAGGAACCTGCCATTTCCGGATTGCGAGACATTTTTCGGACACCCTGTAGACTGTTGTAAATCGATGTGATGACAAAAGAAGTGTGAAGCAATGCATATGAAGACGACTATTTGGTTCAAACGATGAGCGAGTGAGCTACTAGAGCAAGCGACTATAGTGGCGTGTCGTTCTGAAAGATGATATCCGCGGAAGCCACTATAGTGGCGCGTCGTGCCTAAAAGGTTAATAATAGATTGGACGATCGGAAAAGTTCTCACCGAATTTAGCCTTTTCCGGCGTGCATCCACGCGGCGATCCGGGCCTGGACGGGCTGAGAGGTTCCAGATGAATGGGTGAGCAATTGGTAATTGGTGTGGTTTGTTGGATGGGAATTCTCGGGGGTGGTAGTAGGGAATGGGGTAACAAGAGGCTCACGTGTCGAGCCCACCAGGTCGCTCCCGTCGAACCATAACCCCCGTACATTAGACCGCACCGTAATTCTGGAAACCCACAAAATTTTCGTTCACCGACCTATTAACGGACCCCTCCTTTCTCCACCTTTTTTTTCTCGAGAAACTTATTACGGTTTTTACGTGAAACGAAATCGAATACCGTGTTCCGCCGTTAATATTGGTTTGGCAACTAAGTAATTGCCGATTTCAGTTATAGATGTCTCTCACTCCCATTTTTGATATCCGTAAATGTTATATTATAAAATTATTATCATTATTATTATGTTATTTTTTTATTATCCGTGAATGTTAGCAACTGGACAAATTGAATGCAGCGGTCAAGGAAAAGCGACCAGAATTGGTCAATCGTAAAGGTGTCATTTTCCAGCAGGACAATGCTAGGCCGCGCACGTCTTTGTCCACTCGGCAAAAATTGATGGATATTGCTTGGGAATCGATGTTACACCCAGCATATAGCCCTGATCTCGCGCCATCGAATTACCACTTATTTCGATCCCTGGACAACTCCCTTCGTGGTAAAACTTTTAACGATGACGACGCTGTAAAATCTCACTTAACTCAGTTTTTGGCCGAAAAGGATCAGACTTTCTACGAGCGTGGAATTTTCAAGTTGTCAGAGAGATGGCAAAAGGTCGTCGAACAAAATGGAAAATACATTACAGATTAAACTTCGTTCCAAGTAAAAAAAAATTTGTATTTCATTGAACAAATCGGCAATTACTTAGTTGCTAACCCAATACATAACGATTATCGATCGTTGCTAGTCCGTGGGCGCGTTTACACCGTAAATTTGTAAAATGTTATTTTCGATCGAACACGGCTACGTCGACTGCCATGAGCTTTCAATTACGCTGTTTGTCGAGCATTCTTGTAAGTCCCAAATATGCGCTGCTCGAGAAGTAACGTGGAATGATTTTCGATTAAAATTGGCCAACTTCGATCGACGATAACTCCGCGAGAAATCGTCGCAGGATGACGATCTTTTCTTCAAATTAAAGCTTGAAACTTCTACTTTGAGTCACTATTTCTCGATTTTAGTTTCGGCGCGCCCTTATCGCTGTAGCAATTTAAATGCGAGGCCATGTCATATCGATGTCATATTGAAAATCGCCAAGTTCTACGAAATGCACGGACTTCGCCAAATTTTTTGGGGGGACGCCGTTTCCACGAGAATAAAGTTCGAGCCTTTCCCTTTAATTAAAAAAAAAAGAAACGCTGCTGCGATTTTTTCCCGCGAAGTTACATCACTTCGAAGCGACCCTTGCACCCTGTGCTGCGCGTCCGATAACGCCGATGCCGGCGATACACGACAGACATGCAAGAGTCGCTTCGAAGTACTGTAACTCTGCGGAGAAAAATCGCAGCGACTTCATTCTGGTCTCAAATTGAAGAAGCAGGATTGAACTTCGTTTTACTGTAAACGGCATCTCCGAAAAAAATTTGACGAAGGCCGTGCATTTCGTCAAACTTGGCAATCTTGCGACGAACATGGCTTCGCGTTTGAAGGTCTACAGTGGTAATGTCGCGTCGAACTTAAAATCGAGAAACGACGTCTTAAATTAGAAGCTTCGAGCTTTAATTTAAGCGGAGAAGCATCGTAATACATCAATTCTTCGCAAAGTTATCGTCGATCAAAGTTGACCAATATTATCTATCACTTTTGGATACGACGAACGTGGCCTCGCACTCGAAGGGTCACAGCGGCGAGGGTGCATCGAGCTTAAAATCGAGAAACAGCGTATTAAAGTAGAAGCTACGAGCTTTAATTTAAGACAAGAAGCATCGTCCTACGATGATTTTTCGCGAAGTTATTGTCGGTCAAATTTGGCCAGTATTATCCAAAATTCGTCTAATGCTATAACTTCCTTCAGCAATTATGTATTTATTATCTCTGTTATTATCTTTATTTATCGTCATTACATGTAATAGTTTGAACACATTACCTTGTGTAGCGGTGGTGGTTGTCGGTGGCAGGGTGTGCAATCTCGTCTCGGGATTGTACGTCGAGACGAGAGTGAACGCGCTGAATCGGTCCGATGCCGGCTGATTGATGCCCGACGAGCAGATCGAGGACGGATTGGAGGATGCGGTGGTGTTCGAGCCGTTTCCTGTCGCGCCAGGGCTCCAAGGCGATGGAGGCAGAGTCACGCTGGGGCTGCTGGGCGGCGACAACGTGGCAGGGGGTGACAGCGCGCCCGCCGGAACTCCAACCCCGACGCAATGAAGTTCTGGTTTCATGTACCAAGTCCGTGGCACCGCTTCTAATCGACAAAAACCAAACAAAATAATATAATATATTATAATAATATTGCATTATTTTCGAAAATCAAATCACTATTTTAGTCAGCTCCGAAATTATCAATTAAAATTATTGTTTTCGCATATTATAACGCGATACATAAACGCGGAATTGTTTTTCTATTTACGCGGATATTTATATTTATGTTTATATCTATATTTATATCTATATTTACATCTATATCTATATATCTATATTTATATCTATATCTATATATCTATATCTCTATATCTCTATATCTCTATATCTCTATATCACTGTATCTATATCTCTATATCACTATATCTCTATATCACTATATCTCTATATCTCTATATCTCTATATCTCTATATCTCTATATCTCTATATCTCTATATCTCTATATCTCTATATCTCTATATCTCTATATCTCTATATCTCTATATCTCTATATCTCTATATCTCTATATCTCTATATCTCTATATCTCTATATCTCTATATCTCTATATCTCTATATCTCTATATCTCTATATCTCTATATCTCTATATCTCTATATCTCTATATCTCTATATCTCTATATCTCTATATCTCTATATCTCTATATCTCTATATCTCTATATCTCTATATCTCTATATCTCTATATCTCTATATCTCTATATCTCTATATCTCTATATCTCTATATCTCTATATCTCTATATCTCTATATCTCTATATCTCTATATCTCTATATCTCTATATCTCTATATCTCTATATCTCTATATCTCTATATCTCTATATCTCTATATCTCTATATCTCTATATCTCTATATCTCTATNTAATTTACGCGGATTTTGTCAGGCTGTTTCGTAGAACAATCGTTAACCCTGTGCACTCGAAGCAGTTTCAACTGTAAATCTAAAATAATTTCTCTCGCTTATACAGTGTTCTCATTTTACGTGAAAAAGAGAATCTTATGCTCGCGAGAGATCGAGTCTCGTGACTCTCACAAAACGGTTACACTTTTACCAATAGTTTAAACAAAATCTAAACTTCGTTAATATCAAAATGATCTTATAGAACGCGATGTAACAAATTTTCGCGGTGGCCTCGGAGTCGCCACCCGAGTGCAAAGGGTTTTAATAACTCTCCCCCC